GGGTTTAGGGTGTACGGTTTTGGGTTTAGGGTTTAGGGGTTTAGGGTTTGGGGTTTGGGGTTTAGGGGTTTAGGGGTTTTGGGTTTAGCCCACAATCCTGAACCCGTAACCCGTATACAGATACCGATATGGAGAGTAAAAACGTCATACGCAACGATTCCCAAAAAACAAGACGACTATGGAGGCGTGAAACATGACGAAAAATGTTCGGGAGATCTGATAGTATGCTTTGTATACTGACTGTACTGGTATGTGATGATAATAACTGTTCCGGTTGTTCGCACATCTTCATCACCTTAGGTGCCGAGTACCTTAGCCCCAAAAAAGGTTAACCTTCTGAATCATACTAGGTTTATACAAGCCCCAAAAGGTTAAGGGTTACCTACTCAGCCCCTAAGTCACCGAGATGCAGAGTCGAGACGATGAACAGCTCCTTCAGGAAACCCTAAACCCTAAACCCAAAACCCTAAACCCTAAACAAAACCCTAAACCCTAAACCGTGGCTTGGCGTGGGAGTCTCAGGGTCTTTGGATGTCCTGGGGCTTTACCCATAGCCCCCTCAGTAGTTCCTTTGTGGGATTACCTTATAGGCTTCTAAATATGAAACGTAAAAAGGAACTACTTACGGTTGATGATATAAATCCTGCATTACCCTATATAAGGAATATACCATAGTTTAGGCTCCTTAAGGTAATGCAGGACTTATATCATCAACAGTAGGGGCCTGTGGGGGGGGCTTGGGCTTTCGGGTTTGAAGGGCTCTGTGCTCTTGGGTGGTTTAAGGCTCAACGGCTTCAGGCTGAGGGTGTAGGGCTTTGGGTGTATAGCTCACCATCCTTACCCTAAGGCTCTAAGGACTCATATTATAAGGCATTTGGGCCCCAAAGACCATACTATAAGAGGCTTTTGGGCTATTTTGAGCCTTGGGGTTAATATTGAATCCCACATTGGGTTGGGAAGATGCCCGCACGAACGCTGAACTCCAAGTCATGTGCCCCGATGGATCCCTCATTGGCTCGCAAAAGCCCCGGGAGCTCCTTGCCCCCAACCGTGGCGTGGCCGCAGGAGTAAGGCAAGTTTCCACCATAACTGGAGTAAGACAGCCAAAGCAAATGAAGGCGCCAAAGCACCATGCTTACCAACAGGGCTACCAAAGAGATGTTGACGATCATGTCGTACTTTGAGCTGTCGGAAACAACTCTGAGAATGAGCAGAGTAACCTGAGTCGCCCAGCAACTGCTTAGCTTAGTTCAACAGGACCCTAAACCCCTAAACACCTAAACCCTAAACCCCTAAACCCTAAACCACAAAGCTTTCTACAACTTCCTCCCGCAAGGAAGATCTAGATCCCGCACACACAAAAAAACGGAGGATGCAAGAGTACTAAGTACCCATAGGCCCCTAAGTAGTTCCTTTTTATGGTTTATATTTAGAATCCTATAAGGTAAATCCCAAAAAGGAACTACTTAGGGGCCTATGGGTAGTGGGAATCTGGTAGCTGCTGAGACGAGCAGATCCAGCAAACCTTCCCAGAAGCCGTCAGGCAGATTGGAGCATCCTCCCATGCTGGGCGCACCTTCGTCGAAGGGGTTGATAATGTAGGGGGCCTGAATCATTACACTGGGGCTGTGGGGTATATTATACTATAATTATAAGAAGGAACCCGCAAAAAATATGATACTGTAATTATAAGAAGGAACCCCCAAAAATAATATTGGTACTTCTTTAGGCCCCTATCTTAAAGTCTGATTATACTATAGTTGTGATAAAGCCCCAAAATAATATTGGTACTTCCCTATCTTAAGTCTGCCAGGTTTGTGAGCTTAGGGTCGAGCCGAGTGGCCTGGAGGGTCTAAGTCTACCCATAGGCCCCTAAGTAGGTCCTTTTTTGGCATACCCTATAGGATTATAAATATACACCACAAAAAGGAACTACTTAGGAGCCTATGGGTAGGGACTACTACACCCTAAACCCTAAACCGTTTTAGCGCCGAGGGCTGAGGGTTTCGGACTTACCCGGACCCTAAAGAACATCCCTTTTTCTAGGGTTCCCGAGTCTGATTTCTTTATAGAAGTCCTTATTAAAAGGTAGGTTAGGTTAGGGTTAAGGTAGGGCTTGGGTCGACGATGACTGTTTCGCTGGTGGTCCAGGAGGTTCCTGCACTATCAGGAACCGCGACAGTAGCAACAACGACGACAACAACAACAGCAGCAACAGCCGCAGTCTCAGCAGCGGCAGCAATCACAGGCTAACGGAGGATTAGAGATGTAGCTTAAAGTACTAAGTTACTACGAGCTCGGCTTTCGACAGCAGTGTTTCAGACTGCTGTCATACGCAAGGGCAGGAACTAGACCGCGGATGCGAACCGCCATCGACGGACTTGAAGACACAGATTTGACATTGAAGACCGGCTCGAAGGCTGGTGTCTTTGTCCTGATAGATGGGTAACAGGATCAATACTGAACTTCAATCCAAGCCCGCATCCAAGGTCCAAGATTTTTCGGGTAATCTTGGATCTTAGATCTTGGATCCGGGTGTGATTGAATGGGTGAATGGGTGGTTGTGTGTGTGTGTGTGTGTGTGGGGGGCACGTGGGCGATGCGGGCTGTTTGAGTCGAAGGGCATGACATGGATCTTTGTGGGGTACCAAACAATCAGACTATATGTATATATATATATTATTATATTATATTATATTGATATATTTATATATATATAATATATATACGTATATATATATATATACACACTAGATATTCATATGAATAGGTACCTGCAAACAGATTCAGTATGCAACCAACCATATGGCAGCTGAAGAGGGACACGAATCCCAAAGCCTACACCCCAGGATCACCTAAAAGCCCTAAATCCCTATAAACCCTAAAACCTAAAATCCGAAACCTGTAGCAGACCATAAGCCTGCATCTCTACAAACCCCAATCTCTTTTAACCCCAACCTTTAAACCGTCAGCCTTGAAAAGATACAAGACTGAACCTACATAGTTCTTGAAGACTGAACCTTAGGGTTTAGAGTTTGATTGTTCCCTTATTTGGACTGAAAAGGATCTTGCTTACGAAAACTATTCAGAAGCTTCCAAGGGCCAACCTGGTAGGATCCTACTTGGAGGGTCGGGAAGTTAGTAGGCGGGTTATACGTGTAGCATATAAGTACCCTGAAAGGGATCCTAAATGGGAGAAATGATACTTAGAACTCTATACAATCACTGCCTACTAGATGCCCATGCCACCCCCTTTATAGATCCCTGATGGCACTTTTTGAGGATCCCTTTAAGACACCCTCCTTACTAGCTCTCCCGACCCTCAAAACCCTACACCCTAAACCCAAAACCCAAACCCTAATCCCTAAACCCTAAACCCAAAAACATAAAACACAAATGCGCGAAACTCGGAAAGCAACTCTCGACTCGCCTGCGCGCTCCTCTGCCTCCCCTGCTTCTGCAGCCTCGGGTGCTCTTCAGTCTTGCAGGACCACTCTAAACCCATGACTTAGTAATCCTTAGTATTCCTTACCCATAGGCCCCTAAGTAGTTCCTTTTTGGGAGTACCTTATAGGATTCTAAATATAAACCATAAAAAGGAACTACTTAGGGGCCTGTGGGTAAGGTGCTCCTAGATTCCCGAAGCATCCCCGGTGCGCTCCCCGGTTGAACTACCCTTCTTCAGTTCTTTAGCCCTAAGGCTCTAAGGACTCCTGTTTTTCAGGCTTTTGGGCCCAACAACCGTACCATGTAAGACTTTTGGGCTATTTTGAGCCCTAGGGTTCAAGTATCCTAAGGGTTTAGGGTTTAGGGTCATAGTTTGGGGAAGTACTAGACCCTCCACTACCCTCTGTTGGTTGGACCCTAAGACTCCTTTTCTGGGGCCAAAGCAACCCATGTTGAGGGTACGGACCAGGTATGTAATCGAGTTCAGGGTTCAGGGTTCAAGATTTCTAGGGCTGAGGTTAAGATATGTTACACCAAAGTCGTCACGACTTTCGTTCACGGCCTAGCGGCGTCCTCGGGGGAGACGCTGCAGCGCAGCGGATCCCGCATGGCTTCGAAATGCCGATCGGGAGACAAACAAGAAGTGATGATGAAAATCATACAGAGGTGACAGTAGGGTGTTGATGTTGAGGGTTCTACTTTAAGGACTACGGGCTATTGAATTCGGGGACCGGTAGTTTCGATAGCTTCTGTCTTGGGGTTTAGACATAACAAACAACAATCTCTACCCCTGTATTCCTAAACCGCCTAAACCTAGACTCAAAATCCTGATGATATGCTGCTGGAACACTGGGGAATTCAGGATTCTCTTGTGCTCTCTAGAGCTGAATGCTCTTCTGTCCGGCGTTCGTCTTAGTGCTTGCCTTAACGCTACCATAACGTCTTCTCCGTATGCTCTTAATATCAGCAAAAATACAAGCTCAGCTGTTTCTTAGGGATTACCGTAACCAAAGACTAATAGTCACGTCTAAGTACCCCTAAGACTGTAGAAGTTATAGTGACGCTACCAGAAGTAGGGTGTTGGAAGTACAAGGCCGGACCTACCGGGCTTTGATCTTTCGGGGCTTTGGGGCTCTGCTGCTTGATCTGCAGCTGCGGGATGTCGCTCAGCTTAACACCCACCCTTCCCCCGGCCACAAAGCCTACACCCTAAACGAATAGACCTACATAGCAACAACAATGAGCCCCAAACAAGTAGGTCCTTTAGGGCTCAGGGACTTCTAGCCACTTCGCGGTGGGATGGTATAAGGGCGTAGGCTTTCCTTAAGGCCCCATCTACCCATATAGCACATCCTTAAGCCTTCAAGGGGTTTAGGGTTTATAGGGCTTAGCCTTGAAGGTGTTCCTAAAAAGGTACTTCCGGGCCTAACTATATACTAGAGCCTTCGGCTTATGGTCTAGAATGTAGGCTGCCAGCCACGTGGCAGGTGCCACCACCCATGCAATTACTGGCTTCATGTGTAGCTGCACCACATCTCTTGGCAATGCTACGATCGCTTGTTACTTTCGTTTGGCACTCTTGCTGTTGCACCGTTATGCTCTTTGTGGCCGCTGTGTGGTACAATTTCTGAACTGCTAGCGGCCGCTAGCAGCATATGAAGCACCTGCCAATACTTTAATCGCCGTTGCTATTTCTGATAAAGCAAGTAGCATGATTGATAACAGCTGTAGTGTCCATGACAACCGTGTGACTTCGCGGTTTTGGTGCGCCGAATCCAATGTAGGCCTGCACTGACGGATGCTAACATCACCATCGTGGTGCTCAGGTAATAACCTTGAGGGTCCAAGCTCCTGATAATCGCATACTCTCCCAAATAGTATTCTACATAACTACTATCCGAAACCTATGTACCTAATTGTTGGGTTCTTTGGACCCTTTGGGTAGTGATTAAATTCATTCTCAAAATTCCATGTAAGTTAGAGTCCTCGCAGCTGGGCCGGCATCACTAATCAACAATAGCCCTGCCTAAGGGTCCATGTCAAGCCTTAAAAGGGTTTCTAAGCCCTAAACCTTAAACTCCTAAACCCCCCTAAACCCCAAGCCCTAGACTCTAACCCTAAACCCCCCAAGTGTGATACCCAAGCCCGTAACTCTCGCAGCTAGAGAAACAAAGCTCTGTCAACCCGTTGAAGCAACCCACCTGAGCGTGTGCAAGAAAGAACCACAAGAAAACCCCTACAACTCCCCCTTCAAGACGTGTAGATGATGTAAAGACAAGCTAAGTAGAACCCACAAAAAGCCCTCACGCTAAGAAAGCATTCAAAACCTTCAAGCCTCGTAAAACAAAAACCAACTAGAACCCCCACAAGCCCTATGACACCCCTAAAGATACAAATGAAGACTCCGCCCTAAACCCTGAAGAAGCCTAAAGCGGTCCCAAACCCTCTGGACCCAAAGCCCTAAGACCCTCAACCCAAAACCCTGAAGAACCCTAAACCCCAAACCCTAATTCGCCTCGGCCCCCATCCGAAGCGGTCAGAGGTTCCTATTCGGATTCCCCCTATTCCCCACCCATCCCCTCCCCACTCACCCCTCAAAAAGGGCCATCATGGGGGGGGGGGGGTCTCTCTGTGTGAACCCATAAA